CAGTGCTTTACGAAGCCGTCTACTTGTTCCCTGGCTTTCAGTACTTCCACTCGTGCCATTTGTACTGTCCATGGTTAAGTATAACCAAAACAGTAACCACAGAAACCACAACAATAACAATCACACAACAATTCTTATAAAAACACACAATATGCGATCGCTCAACGAAACACGTTCCAATGCGTTGCCGACGCCTATGAGTCTGCCGGTCGAGGCGCGTCTTTGGTTTCATTGGTTCTACCCGCGGAGAACAATCAGCCATTATTTCCATCTCTGTCTGTGCTGTTGACCACCGCAAAGCTACAGAACGACATATATGTTGTACGCTATACGGCTGTACTGGAAGGAAGCCGGGATCGAGCTCTGATCACGTGTTGATCACGCGTATGAGTCATTACAGTTTTAAATAGTTGTAGTATAGTTATGTTTGTTTGGTGAAGATTTATTTAGCATTAATGCTACAAGGTCAATTTTACGTTCTTGTCTATTGAAATTACATCGTTCACTACATTTTGGGTATTCATAACGTGATTTTTTAATTTCACCCTGAACATTTTAAAATTCAAACACTGTTTAATATTATTACTAGATTGTTATTATGATTATGGGTATAGTCCGGTACCGTTTGGACTATAGAATATAGAAATTCTGAATCTATTCGAAAATGTTAATTTTCACGCGTAAAAGAGGACAATGCTATTAGGTCTGATCTAATATCGGATAAAGCGATCGTCATAAAACCAAAAATAGCACGTTTTGGACGTTCCGCTTGCTTTCGTAATATGATCATACCTACAATACCCCGCCTAACAGGAATCGCGAATCTCGAGCCAAAATCAAAATACAAACTTCAAACTGAAAAAATGCGATCGGGTAACGTGTCGTATATCGTTTTAATCAGGAGACTTTGGTCCTTCATTTTGCGAAAAAAAATCGTAGTTATGTCGATCCGTAATGGAGGTCCGTATCGAAGAAGACAAAGTACGCCGAAAAACGGCTGTCATCGGTACTTTTGAGCCGCTCAAAGTTTACTTTTTCGAAATTTGACGGTAATTCTAACGGTCAGAATCGTTTCCTCAGCTAATTATCGTTATTTTTCGATAGCTATATAATTTTTACTCGCTTACGTATAATAGTAATAAGCGAGGACAGAGCCGGAAAACAAAGTGACTTTTTCACGCATCGAAAACTAGCATATAGTCGAGCAATTTTAAAAAATCGAAACTTTCGAACGAAAAGGAATAAAGAAAAAAAAAGACGCTATTTTTGAATCCAATGTCCGGGCTTTCTCACGCAAAAATCGTCAGGTTCGTAGCTCCTGTATCTTCGTAGGAAATCGAAAGTGAACGTCGAACAGCACGAAAATCTATCATTTTTTCTACTTTACCTACCGTTTTCGATCGCGTTTCTTCCTTCTCTTCACCGCTTAATATCGTCGATTTATTTTAATAAATTCAAATACTCCCTTTTGGAATACAGATTTGCTAGTTATACTAGTATTACAATTTTGTAGATGAAAATCTATACTGTCTTTAGTTTCATAGTTATGATAATGACTATTTCATTTTGCGAACTTTTGCATTCAACCACTAACATAGCATTGGTTGTACTAGTTGGGGAATAAAGTAAAAAACAATATATTCTCCCACGAATTTAGACTATTTTTCAAACTCGTTAGACCAACGTGTTTCTTCAACCGCCATTTGGGGATTCGAAATGGCGGAGCGAGTAATCGTCTAGTTTTTTCTCCCGAAACGCCGGTGTGAGACAAAGATAGCCAGTTCACAAATTACTATTCTGTTTTTCTGTATTATTCAGTCAATGACAATCGACATAAAGGTGTAGAGATGGGTCAGCGTAGAGATGGGGAAAGAAAACGTCACAGACAGAAAAAATGTATTTTAGAAGTAGATAGTTTTTCGTAGTTAAATATAGAATAAAATACCCCAAAAATACACAACGGTTTTATTTTTCCGTCAAAAATCAACCAGAACATTTTATCCCCTAGAAATTCCCAAAAGGACGAAGAATCCGCAAATTTGGGGGAAAATCTCCCAATATGGCAACCCTGATGATTTTATTCCGGCGCCTGCAGTGTTGCCAGATCTATCGCTACGTTGCCAGTCTCATCACTTAATTTACAGGCCTCGTGTTTGATTGATATTGTATATGCATATAGTGAAGTATTTATATATTTTGATTAGCGTCTGCATTTTCCCATGACCCGTTATCACATTGTTATTCAATAGTAGACAGCGGGCGTGATAATTGATTAGGAAATGAAAGCAAAGCAGTTCAATAAGATTTATGCTTATCATTGAGGCGGTTCATACAACGTCGGTACATTTTTGTAAATGTCTTATATCTAGAATTAATAAATGCATCATTTATTCTGACTTTATCGTTATTTATTGCCGCACGATGTTAACACTTCGTAGCTACAAGCGATTTCATTGCACATAAGTATTTAAAGCCGCTTAAAGCAAAAGCCAAGGTGTTTTTCTAGTGTAAGAAAAAGTGTTATTCTCTTACCTGCATATTTGATAGTTTTTTTTTATATCTGTAAGTATCTACTACTTAAACATAAATAACAACCACTTCTGCCTCTGCAGTAATTTTTGAGTGCGTGACACTTCGTTTGGGTCGTTATTTAATGGTAAACTTCGTAATGATTTTGTTATATTAAAATCGCCCCATAAAGATGACCACATACTTTTTATTTTGAACGCAGGTACGGTATTGATGATTTTTGTGAAATGAAGACTAGGATCAAAGAAAATTAAAAAATGAAAATATTGCTGTTCCCAGCGTATTGTTCACGTTTACCTCCCAATACAGACCAACATATACTAAGTGACATATAAATCCGAACACCCAGTTTAAATGGTTTTATTTTAATAAAATTTTGTATAAGTACTTAATGAAGCATAATAAGTAAATGATAAAATTTTCAAAATGATTGCTCTGCTTTAGAGCCCTTTGACCTTTAATAATGTGTGGATGCACCCTGATGTGCTACGCATTCTCCAACGCGCCTAGGCATGCTTCTGATCAGGTGGTCAATGTCCTCCTGTGGTATCTCATTCCAGGCAACCACCAACTCCTCTCGAAGTGCTTCTAGAGTCTGAGGAGGACGTTGCAAATTGAGCAATCTCCTACCCATCATATCCCACACGTGCTCAATTGGGGATAAGTCGGGAGATCATGGTGGCCATGGTAACAATGTGACATCATTATGTTGAAAGAAGTCTATTGTGACTCTTGCAACATGTGGTCGGGCATTATCTTGTTGGAAAGTTAGATCTGCCAGGGTGTTAAGAAAGGGTAAAAGATGGGGTTCTAGAACTTCGTGGATATAACGCTGCGCGTTCATGTTACCTCTGATGAAGATTAAAGGTGACCTGGAACCATAAGCTATAGCACCCCAAACCATAACTCCAACAGTGTGATGAACATGTCTTTCAACAAAAAACTGTGGATTCCTCCTTTCACCACGTCGCCTTCTAACCCTGGCACGACCATCGTGCATGCCTAAACAAAATCGAGACTCGTCACTAAAGACAATACTGTTCCATTCCTGATCCCAGAGTGACCGTTGTCTGCACCACTCAAGGCGATTACGTCGGTGTTCTCGAGTTAAAGGGAGGACCCAGTCTGGCCGGTTTGAAAACAAGCGTCGTCGGTAAACACTTCGCATGCCAATAGGTCTTCCGTGTTCTGCAAACCATTGATTTGCAATGGTCCTGGTAGTGGAGAAACGGTCCCTTAAGGCCAATAATCTTAGGCGGCGATCTTCACGGTCTGTTGTTCTACGGCGGCGTCCAGTGCCCCTTGCTCTTTGCGTACGGCCTTCTCGAAGCCATGCCTGACAACACCTAACCACAGTGTCTACACTTCTTTGCACTCTAACTGCAATTGCCCGAAAAGAAAGTCCCACTATACGGCCCCTATCAAACTCACTAAGTTGACGAAATCGTACAGGTCTCCGTACTCTAGGCATCGTAACCGATCGTAAAGGATGTCAAGAACCAAAATCCGCCAACGTTGATTCTTTACTGCGGCTGAAATATTCATTTTTAGAGCGTTAGTGAATTAAAAAAAAGCAGTATAAAAACCGGAATGTCCAACTGATAAGGCTGAAAATTTTTTCACTTGTTATTTACAGTAAGATAAATACATTCACCAACTTTTATTAAAATAAAACCATTTAAACTGGGTGTTCGGATTTATATGTCACTTAGTATAAATGAGTCAGGTCATACCTATAACGTACGAAACCTATCTCGGTTTTGAAATTGCGATCATACCATGTCGCCTGTGAGCGTGGAAATTGAAAATAGTTTTAAGTTGAAAAATGAAAATACTGCATTATTGGCCTAGCAAACCTAAATTAACAAAAATGAAACATTCATATGACCGACAATTTTAAAGCAGTCACAAATTTTATATGTATGTACAGAAAAACCAGAGAGAGTGCCAAGTGATTATAATTGAACTGATTCCGTAGCAAATAACATTTCGAAAGGAAATACTATTCAAGAAGGAATTAAGAAATAAAAGCTGTATTTCTTTTTGCTTGGTATTTTTTACATTGTCCAATCAGTTATGGATGAAGACACATAATTGGCTTATTGCGGTTTTTCATTAAATACAAAGGATTATAAAAACCGTTCGCTCTGTCCTTCATTTTATGCACAATTAAATATGTGCATTTGTTACACTTCTCTGGTTTGATCGCGCAGATAAATATATTTCAAGACATTGCTCATATGGCATACGATAGTGTTACTGAAGCATGCCTTGCCGCTCTTGTCCTGTCCGATGATTAATATCATATGTGTTGGAAACGCAACTTTACTGACATCTTAGCAGCCTTTTTGAATTATAAAATGCTGAGCTCCGCTGATTTTTTGATTCTGTATCTATTTATTTTATTTTCCTTATTAACAAATCCATTTAGATAAAATGTGCATTCATCGCTGAAGCAGATATTCTTTACATCATTAATAACTGCAGTCATTTGTTCACAAACTCAACTCAATTATAGAAATCATCTTCAATTAACTCTTGCAATATTTTCATTTTGAATGGATAAAATTTATGGAGCTTAGTAACTGCGTGTACAGAGCCTAATGAAAAACCGGTCACAACAAAAAATTTGCTTAATGAAGTATTAGGATTTATTCCAAAATGACCCAAAACTCCAACGTGGCTGTACCGTATCGCCGCAGCGAGGTACAGCACTCGCACGCTTCAGTCTCTCGGCCACCGTCGGCGCAGCGGAATGTCCACGCGTTCACAGCTCCGTGCAGAGCTCTATTCGGTTTAGCTACTTTTTTTTTAGTTGTTGTGTTCACTATAGGGTTCTCGATTGTCTCTCAGTGGTGTTTTAGTGTTGTGATGTAGGTGTCAAGTGTCTGCAAAGTGGAAATTAGGTCTACTTCCAACTCTTCTAAAGGAAACAATATACATGTGCCGCAAACTAGGTGAGACTTGCGTACTCATCTACTTGTGTGTTAGGGTTGACATCCTATGTTTTTTAAATGAATTGCGCACATTGCATACACTGAGAGATTTGGCAAGATCGTTTTTATTTTTGTCTGAATTTATTTTAAGAAATGTCAAAAAACTAATGGCACTACTTGGGCACTACATGGTGGTGTTTTTAAATGTTGTGCACGTCGGGCACTACCCTGTATATAATAGCATCTACGACTTCAGCGATGTATCACGTTACCAATGAATTGGTTTTCTGGCTCTACACCTGCTTCCATGGCTCTTTTTCACTTATTTCCCTGGTCTAAGCGTAGGAGGGAGGGATTCGCATAACTAAGCCCTCAAAGTTCTTCGAAATAAAAAATCGAAAACCAATATGGAATAAAGCTAAATGTCTGCCCATCCGTAGCACTCCTTATTAGAAAAGCCATAAAGAAATGCACAATGGCAGAATTATGCCTGGGCATTTACATAACGCAATATCGCTAGAGTTGGGCGAGGTCGCGAAAACAGATTTATCGACAAAGAAAAAATAAGAGAACAGCTTAGCGCCGGGAAAACTGTTATGGCTAATTTCGTCCAGGAATACAAACTAAAAACGATGAGGAACTTTCATATACTCGCAGGCGGGTATAAAGGTCGCATCTCAGTTCTAGTAATTACTGTATCGCTGTGCTATTGGGTCTAGGGTTTTGGTTACCTGAAAGGTCGGCAGTCTTTGAGTATTTTCTTCGTTCTACTGTACTGCATGGATTTCTAACCATAATACCTTTATATTCATGATGTCTTAAGCCATGTTTATAAAGATGCTCTGCTCTTTAGCTTCGTAACAATCGTTAAACTCGGCATGTCTGTCTGGACACCTAGCGACCAAATAGATTGTCTGTGTGACGACTCCTAGTCTGTGCGTGTTATGACTCCTAATCTGTATATGTAACGATCCTAGGATCAGTCTGTGTGACGACTTCATGTCTCTGTATGTGACGACTCCTAATATGTCTGCGTGACGGCTTAATGATCAGTCTGTGTGACGATCCTATTATCAGTCTGTGTGACGACTCCTAGTCCGTATATGTGACGATTCGTAATATGTCCGTGTGATGACTTAATGATCAGTCTGTGTGACGATCCTAGGATCAGTCTGTATGACCACTGTTAGTCTGTCTATGTGGCGACTCCTAATCTGTCTGTGTGACGATCTTAGGATCAGTCTGGGTGACGACTCCTAGTCTCTGTGTGTGACGACTCGTAAACAGTCTGTGTGAGATCCTAGGATCAGTCTGTGTGATGATCCCCAGTCTCTGAGTGTGACGACTCCTAATCAGTCTGTGTGACGACTTAATGATCATTTTGTGTGTCGACTCCTAGTCTATGTATGTGACGACTCCTAATCTGTCTGTGTGACGACTTCATGATCAGTCTGTGTGAAGATCTTAGGATCAGAGTGTGTGACGACTCCTAGTCTGTATGTGTGTCGACTCCTAATCTTCTGCCTGTGTGACGACTTAATGATCGGTCTATGTGACGATTCTAGGTTCAATCGATGTGACCACTCCTAGTCCGTTTGTGTGACGACTCTTAATCTGTCTGTGTGACGACTTATTAATCACTCTGTGTGACAACTCCTAATCTGTCTATGTGACGACTTAATGATCTGTCTGTGTGACGAATATGAGATCAGTTTGTGTGACGACTCCTAATCTGTCTGTGTAATGACTTGATGATCAATCTGCGTGTCGACTCATAATCTGACTGTGTGATGACTTAATGATCAGTCTGTGTGACGATCCTAGGATCAGTCTATGTGACGACTCCATGTCTCTGTATGTGACGACTCCTAATCTGTCTGGGTGACGACTTAATGATCAGTCTGTGTGACGATTCTAGGATCAAACTGTGTGACGACTCCTAGTCCGTGTATGTGACGACTCGTAATCTGTCCGTGTGATGACTTAATGATCAGTCTGTGTGACGATCCTAGGATCAGACTGTGTGACCACTCTTAGTCTGTCTATGTGGCGACTCCTAATCTGTCTGTGTGACGATCCTAGGATCAGTCTGTGTGACGACTCCTAGTCTCTGTGTGTGAAGACTCATATTCAGTCTGTATGACGACTTAATGATCACTTTGTCTGGCGACTCCTAGTATATCTGTGTAACGACTCCTAATCAGTCTGTGTGAGATCCTAGGAACAGTCTGTGTGACGACTTAATGATCAGTTTGTGTGACGACTCCTAGTCTATGTATTTGACGACTCCTAATCTGTCTATGTGACGACTTCATGATCAGTCTGTGTGACGATTTTAGGATCAGAGTGTGTGACGACTCGTAGTTTGTCTGTGTGGCGACTCCTAATCTTCTGTCTGTGTGACGACTTAATGATCGATCTGTGTGACGATTATAGGATCAGTTGATGTGACCACTCCTAGTCTGCGTGAAGACTCTTAATCTGTCTCTGTGACGACTCTTAATCTGTCTGTGTGACGACTTATTAACCACTCTGTGTGACAACTCCTAATCTGTCTATGTGACGACGTAATGATCAATCTGTGTGTCGACTCCTAATCTGACTGTGTGACGACTTAATGGTCAATCTGTGTGGCGATCCTAGGATCAGTCTGTGTGACGACTCCATCTCTCTGTTGGTGACGACTCCTAATCTGTCTGCGTGACGACTTAATGATTAGTCTGTGTGACGATCCTAGGATCAGTCTGTGTGACGACTCCTAGTCCGTGTATGTGACGACTCGTAATATGTCCGTGTGATGACTTAATGATCAGTCTGTGTGACGATCCTAGGATCAGTCTGTGTGACCACTCTTAGTCTGTCTATGTGGTGATTCCTAATCTGTCTGTGTGACGATCCTAGGATCAGTCTGTGTGACGGCTCATATTCCGTCTGTATGACGACTTAATGATCACTCTGTCCGACGACTCCTAGTATATCTGTGTGACGACTCCTAGTCTCTGTGTGTGACGACTCCTAATCAGTCTGTGTGAGATCCTAGGACCAGTCTGTGTGATGACTTCCAGTCTCTGAGTGTGACGACTCCCAATCAGTCTGTGTGACGACTTAATGATCAGTTTGTGTGACGACTCCTAGTCTATGTATTTGACGACTCCTAATCTTTCTATGTGACGACTTGATGATCAGTCTGTATGACGATTTTAGGATCAGAGTGTGTGACGACTCGTAGTCTGTCTGTGTGACGACTCCTAATCATTTGTCTGTGTGACGACTTAATGATCGGTCTGTGTGACGATTATAGGATCAGTCGATGTGACCACTCGTAGTCTGTGTGAAGACTCTTAATCTGTCTCTGTGACGACTCTTAATCTGTCTGTGTGACGACTTATTAACCACTCTGTGAGACAACTCCTAATCTGTCTATGTGACGACTTAATGATCAATCTGTGTGTCGCCTCCTAATCTGACTGTGTGACGACGACTTAATGATCAATCTGTGTGACGATCCTAGGATCAGTCTGTGTGGTGACTCCTAGTCTGTGTGTCATGACTCCTAATCAGTCAGTGTGGCGATCCTAGGATCAGTCTGTGTGACGACTCCATGTCTCTGTATGTGACGACTCCTAATCTGTCTGCGTGACGACTTAAAGATCAGTCTGTGTGACGATCCTAGAATCAGTCTGTGTGACGACTCCTAGTCCGGGTATGTGACGACTCGTAATCTGTCCGTGTGATGACTTAATGATCAGTCTGTGTGACGATCCTAGGTTCAGTCTGTGTGACGATTCTAGGATCAGTCGCTGTGACCACTCCTAGTCTGTCTGTGTGACGACTTATTGATCAGTCTGTGTGACAACTCATAATCTGTCTATGTGACGGCTTAATGATCTATCTGTGTGACGAATATGAGATCAGTTTGTGTGACGACTCCTAATCTGTTTGTGTTACGACTTAATGATCACCCTGTGTGACGATTCTACCATCAGTCTGTGTGACGACTCCTAATCTGTCTGTGTGACGACTTAATTACCAGTCTGTGTGACGACTTAGTTATCAGTCTGTGTGACGATCCTAGGATCAGTCTGTGACGTGATTTGTGCATGTCATATCATGAGTCGGTTGAATATTGGATGTACTCAAATCATTTTTTCTAAAGATAGCTGACCCTGACAGTCTGGTCATATCGCCCTTATCACTTGCTAATGGAGCACAACTCGTTGTCCCTCAGTCGCCAAATGAGTGGATTTTACTTGTATATTATCCTGACTTTGTCGAATTGTTTACGTAGTACGCTTGTAATAAAAGCAAAATGGTACAGGCTGGTACTTCCAAGGTGGTTTGTTTTCTCACCGTCGTCTCGTATCTTATATAGGTTAATGAAACTTCAAGAGAGCTTTGGGATGCTGAGGCATTGCAGGATTTTCGTTATGGAGAACATTTATGCACTACTTCTTATATGTCAACGTTACGCGTATAGAACAGTGCTTTTATACGTTATTTAATTGAAAACGTATGCAGTATTCTTCTTAGGTTGATGCAACTACACATTCTGCAAGTGCAATCTTTCCTGAAAAATAATGTGTACCGCTAGCGCTGTGGTGTAGGAGACGGCGAGCGGCACTGAACGTCGGCATCGATTTGGTCGATGGGCACCATGTGTGGGCGATACCGTGGGCAGGTTCTGTTCCAATTGATCTAGTTAATTGTTTCGCTGCCGAGATAAAGTTGTGATTGCTTTTATACAGAACGAGAATCACGCTGGAAGGAGAGGTGACTGGTTTTGAAAAATTTTCCTACCTGGTCGGATCAGATAAATGGTCTGCGTCCAAGCTGTTAGCATGGTGCAAGTTTGGATACATACAAAGCTTTTTGTAAACAGTATTACTGTACTGAGTGGTTCGACAGAAAATAAATCATAGTTGAAAAAACTAAACAAACTTGCTGTAATAGCAAATGGAACTAAAAAGTAGAAAATGATTTTCAAGTACAGGAGAATTTGTGTTACTTCAACAGCTAATAGCTTATTAGTTTTTAAAAATCAGTTCAGTGAAAATGGTAAAAAACGAAAGAGAATAAAATCGCTCAAACTTCGTTTTTTGGCGTTTCAGAGGGTCCTTCTTAGTTGTAAAAGAATAAAATGGTTTGCAGTT